GTTACAATTTGGGCTCTGAAAGCTTTTGTGTCAGATTTGATTTAACTGGTGGAGGAACTGTAGTGTGTGTGTGTGTGTGTGTGTGTGTGTGAGTGTGTGTATGCGTGTGTGTGTGTGTGTGTGAGAGAGAGAGAGAGAGAGAGAGAGAGAGAGTATGTAAGAGAGAGAGAGATACAGACAGATAAAGAGAGAGAGAAATAGTGTCTGTAAGAGATAGATGATATACAGATAGATAGATATAGAAAGAGAGAGAAATAATTGTGTCAGAGAGAGAGAGAGAAACAGTGTAGGGTGTAAGAGAGATAGTGATAGAGATAGATAGATGATAGATAGATAGATAGATAGATAGATAGATAGATAGATAGATAGAGACAAAGAGAGAGAGATAGTGTGTGTAAGAGATGGATGGCTGGATGGCTGGATGGCTGGATGGATGGATGGAGAGATAGATGGAGAGAGAAAGAGAGAAATAGTGTGTAAGATAGATGATGGATAGATAGATAGATAGATAGATAGATAGATAGATAGATAGATAGATAGATAGATAGACAGATAGAAAGACAGATAGAAAGATAGACAGATAGATTTTGTGTGACACTTGTATATTCTGTTTTACATAGAGGGTTGCAAATTTAGAAATAAGTAGTTCAATTAGCAATATGGTTCATTTGCTTCAATAGCAGAAGAAACTGGGATCAGGCCAAGGAGTACACTGAAATCTTTTTTAATGATTATTATTTCAGAGCAGAACACCCAAATAATAATAGCTTTTCTATTTGCAGTTGCTACTTCTGTAAAGATATGACAAACAAACACAGCACAAGATTGGCAGTGTTTATGACATCAGGAGGAGACACTGATAGATAATCATCCCATTTTTCTCTCCTTCCTTAGACTTCTTTATTTTTAAACTCAACTTGAACTAGATTGGCTCTTATACTGATATTTGCCTTCCTTCCTTCCTTTCTTCCTTCCTTCCTCCCTCCCCCTCTCCCCTTCTTCCTTCTACTTCCTTCTTTCCTCCTTTCCTTTCTTCCTTTCCTCCCTCCCTCCATCCCACCCTCTCTCCCCTCCCACTCTCTCCTCCCTCTCTCCCCTCCCTCTCCTTCCTTCCTTCCTTCCTTCCTTCCCCTGCTTCCTTCTTTACTTTCCTTCTTTCCTTCCTCCCTCTCTCCCCTCCCACTCTTCCCTTCCTCCCTCTGTCTCTCCTCCTTCTCCTCCCTCCCTGCCACCCTCCCTCCCTTCCTCATTTTCATTTTCTCTTTTTAAAAAGGAAGATGTTTCAACAGGTCATAAAGGCAAGTGGTTGCCATGCACCTAAAATGCAGTCATGTAACCACATAGAAGGGGAGAGAACATTTTATAAGAGCCAGAAGTACTTCCCAGACTGTAAAACACCTGTTCTGAGACTGCTATAGCTCTGAATACTCATGAAACGATCAGTCATAAGTCAAGGACTACTTTACTTGAAAGCTGTAAATGCAGGGATGGATGGATGGATGGATAATATTTATTCTGACCACTGATAAGAACATATATAAACTAAGTGCAGGAAAAACAAACCAACAAGCCATCTACGTATCCATCAAAACTTGGAAAGATGAATGTATTCATGTGTGAACCTTGGGTTAAAGGTGAAAAGACAATTTTATACCTGTGTAACGAAGGCTCAGGATGAGACTAAAGCAATGTCGGGGAGACACAGAAGAAAAATGAGGTTGCCAAGGCCTATTTGTGTTGTTGTTAGTTTTCAAGAGCACTCCCATTTACGCTTCCTGGTTTGTTTAGTCCAGCACTGTTGTCAAAGCTGGGACCGCAATGCTGAGCCACCACAATGGCCTTTCGTATAGCCACACAGCATCCCAACAAACATTAAAAAGAGTTGGAGCTGTGTTGTTGTGCTGCTTCCACACACAATGCCACTGGTTTAGTCACTCCCTCTGGGAGGAGAAGTTGAGCTTGGTCCATCATGCTCCAATACGCCTGCACATTTCTCACATTGCAAGCTTACCTCGTTATCATTTCAAGGCTGTTGGGCATTGTGTCATTGAAACTTCACTTATTGTCACTTACACCAATCTAGAAATAAAGAGAAATTTCTTGACAGTGAGAACAATTAATCAGTGGAACAACTTGCCTACAGAAGTTGTGGATGCTCCAACACTGGAAGTTTTTAAGAAAAGATTGGGCAACAGAGGTGATATTCAGCAGTTTCTGGCCAGTTCTGGAGAACTGGTAGTGGAAATTTTGAGTAGTTGAAGAACCAGTGGTAACTTTCTCCCAGGAGTGGGGTGGGAATGGAGATTTTGCAGTATCCTACCCCTGCCATGCCCACCAAGCCACACTCACCAAGCCATGTCATGCCCATCCAAGCCATACCCACAAAACTGGTAGTAAACATTTAAGCTAACAAAATTTGTTTTTTTAAAAACAAAACAAAAACAAAAATAAGTCAGAATAGCAGATAAATTAGAAAAGAAATGTTATTGAATAAAGAGTAAAGAGAAATAATGTGAAATTTGTAAAGGGAATTTACGTGCTTACATGGAAATGGGATAAACCAGAAAAATGCGATATAAAATAATGTGTTATCTGCTTTGTAAAGATCTATGATGGAAAGCGGTTTTATGTTTTTAATGTTTAATGATGTTTTTTTTTTTTTGTTAAAATTAATAAAATTTGTTTCAAAAAAAAGAAACCATTTTTGAAGCCCACCACTATTGGACAGCTATTTGTCTGAAATGGTATAGCATTTCCTGCTTGAACAAGGGGTTGGACTAGAAGATCTCTAAGGTCCCTCCCAACTCTGTTATTTCGTTAAATGGAAATGCAAAGAACCAGCATGACTGCCTTAACTGCTCACCCCCCAATAATTGGCATGTCTGTGTCCAGGAAGGTTTTATACACGATTCTTCCTGCCTATATAGGGGTGGGATTCAAAAATCCAAGCAACCGGTTCGCTGCCCAGTTGCTGGGTGGGCATGACTATAGTGGGCGTGGCATACTGGAACTTCAATGAAGGCCGTTTTTCACCTTCCCAAGGGTCTGGAGGCTTCCCTCTGGCCTCTGGGAGGGTGAAAATGGCCTCCCATGGCTCTGGAGGCCCTCCACAAGCCGGAAACAGGCCAGTTTCCAGAGTTCCAGTGCATCTGGAAGGCCCGTTTTTCCCGCTCCCAGAGCCTCCATGCAGACCCTGCACTGACCTGTATCAAAAATGGCCCACGAGGAGAATCCTGGGAGGGGAGGGACAGGGTAGGTGGGGCCAGCTGGTCGGTTCCAATACCAGTTTGGTGAACCAGATGCAAATTTAACATCTGGTTCACCCAAACCGGTAGAAATCCCACCCCTGGGACCATCTCTTTCTTTGAAAGGAAATCTAAGTTACTTGAAATCAAATTTCTTTTTGATTCCTGAGATTTTGCTCGAGATTTAGTGTGATGGCTCGGCGGTTAAAGATTGAGAGAGACCCGGGTTGCAGAGCTGACAGCCCAGGTTTAAGAGCCAAGCTCCACACAATGGGGTGAGCTCCTGTTACTCATCCCAGCTCCTGCCCACTTAGCAGTTTGAAAGCACGCAAACGCAAGTGTCAACGTTCCAACTGATGAACCCAACCAAAGCAAGCATGGCCGAGACGGTCCAATCACTTCATGCAAAACTTTATTGAGTACATCACTACAGCAAAGATGAGGGCAAAACCAGATCTAGCTAATTCCTGCGTAAACCCATGTAGTTAAAGTGTTAGGTTCTCCATCCTCCTCTTTAAACCGGGTCACCTTGTCCAATTGAGTCTCATGGTATTGTTATGGGAAAGTCTTTTGGCTCTGGTAAACACCTGCCAAAGTGTCCTTGGTTCTCACCGCTGTTTTCCTGATGTCTGAAACCTACATTTCATCCCTCCCTTCCCTCCTCCCATAGTTCATTGGCAAGCTTGGAAGTGATAATAGTTGCCGCAGCAAAAGGCGCCTTTTGAAGCTTGACAGCAAGTAGATAAATAGGTACCACTTTGGTGGGAAGGTAACAGCATTCCATGCACTTTAGGGTATAGGCATGCTGGCCCCATGATCATGGAAATTGTCCTTGGACAACACTGACTCCTTTGACCAAGAACAGAGATGAGCAACTAGTGTCAAATTTGATTTCATTGAGTGCCACAACACCGACTCCTGTGTTTGACCACAGGAGGTTGGGGGTGGGCATGGCCAGCTCAACGTCGTTCATCCAAGCTCCGTTTTCAGTCGCAACAGCCTCCTGCAGCCCTCTACCAGCCAACGGGCTCCATTTTCTGCCATGACAGCCTCCTGCAGCTTTCTGCCAGTGAAAATGGAGCCCGGGAGGGCTGCGCACGGCCTCCACAAGCTCCATTTTCACTGGCAGAGGGCTGTAGGAGACCGTTGCAGCCAAAAACGGAGCTTGGTGGGGGGGCTGTGCAGAGCTGGTCTTTCGCTGTTTCCAAGGCAGCCCCCACAGGCCAGATCTAAGCACCCTGCAGGCCGGATCTGGTCCGCAGGCCTTGAGTTTGACACCCCTGCCCTAGAGCCAGACATGACCGACAGGGAAACCTTTATCTTTACCTTTTGCTCAAGGCTTGACTTGATTGGAAAAGTTGAGTGTTTCTTCCCCCTCTCCACTATCACTCATTTGCTCCTCCTCATCCATCTGCCCAGCAACCCAGTGGTCCGAGTAGCTCGGTGTGAGAAAGCTCTACAATGCAGCCTGTCAAAAGTCATGTGCTAGGCAGAAGATGAGGTTAAAAAAAAAAAAAGAATAAGTCTCTGCATAACAGGAGTAGAAAGTGGGTAAATGTTTCTTGGGTGAAACCCAGAGCATGTGATAATCAGATTACCAAAGTGTGCTTGTATGAGTCAAGAGGAAAGCACGGTTGAATGAAGTACCAGGAAGAAATATGCAAGAAGAATTTCTCAGCCAGTGAGATGGATAAAATCGTGCTTGTTAACCAAATGACCAGACAGGATGCTAGATTTTTGTGGGTCTGCGAGGCTATGTCTCTTTTTTCTATAAGCCTAATTTTGGGGATCCTTCCCCTTGCGTCCAGCCAGTTCCCTCGGTCGTGTGCTAACTCAGACAGCTTGCTGAGGAAGGAGTGTTGTCCAACGTGGCCCGGAGATGGTTCTCCTTGTGGAGAGCTTTCAGGAAGGGGTTCTTGTAGAGAGAATCTCCTTTCGGTTGCTCCTCTTGGTCCTCAGTTCCCTTTCTCTGGAGTGGATGACCGAGAGGACTGGCCAGCGATGTTTTACAACAAGACTTGCAGGTGCTCAGACAACTTTATGGGATACAACTGTGGCGATTGCAAATTCAGCTTTGGAGGACCCAACTGCACAGAAAGAAAGCTGCAAATCAGGAAAGACATCTTCAAGCTCAGCGCCAGAGAAAACTACCAGTTCCTTGCCTATCTCAATTTGGCGAAATATTCCACCAGCCGGGATTTTGTCATTGCCACTGGAACGTATGCCCAAATGAACAACGGCACCACTCCGATGTTCCGAGACACCAGTGTCTATGACCTTTTCGTCTGGATGCATTATTATGCGTCTCGGGACACGCTTCTCGGAGGCAGCAACGTCTGGAGGGATATTGACTTCGCGCACGAAGCCCCCGGTTTCCTTCCTTGGCATCGGCTGTTTTTGCTCCTGTGGGAACGCGAGATCCAGAAGCTTACTGGGAATGAAGAGTTCACCATACCCTACTGGGATTGGAGAGATGCTGAAGGCTGTGACATCTGTACAGATGAGTACATGGGAGGCAGACATCCCAGTCAACCAAACCTATTGAACCCAGGATCCTTCTTCTCTTCATGGCAAGTATGTATAGGCAAGAGTTGGGGAGGAGGGTGAAGCATTTCTCTATCATTACATCTATCCATCTATCTATCTATCTATCTATCTATCTATCTATCTATCTATCTATCTATCTATCTATCTATCTATCTATTTATCTATCTATCTATCTATCTACCTACCTACCTACCTACCTATCTACTATCTACCTATCACCCATCTATGTACCTATCATCTGCTTATCATCTGCTTATCATCTGCTTATCATCTGCTTATCATCTGCTTATTATCTATCTATCTATCTATCTATCTATCTATCTATCTATCTATCTATCTCTGTCTCTCTCTCTCTCTGTCTCTGTCTCTCTCTGTCTCTCTCTCTCTCTCTCTCTCTCTGTCTGTCTGTCTGTCTGTCATCTATCTACAATTTACTATTATCCTTCTCATCTTATCATATTACCTATTTCTCTACCTATCCTATGACCATAACTTGGTTGTTTGTATCTTATGTTGCTTGTTTTTATTTAGCATCCTATGACCGTCACTGAATATTGTATCTTATGAATTACAATTATTGTTTTTTAGGATTATGATCATGATTTATCAGTTGTTTGTATGTACACCGAGAGCTTGTATATTGAAGACATATTCCTTTGCGTCCAATCACACTTGGTCAATAAATTCTTTTCTTTTCTTTTCTTTTCTTTTCTTTTCTTTTCTTTTCTTTTCTTTTCTTTTCTTTTCTTTTCTTCTCTTCTCTTCTCTTCTCTTCTCTTCTCTTCTCTTCTCTTCTCTTCTCTTCTCTTCTCCTCTCCTCTCCTCTCCACTCCACTCCACTCCACTCCACTCTGTTCCATTCCGTTCCATTCCATTCCATTCCATTCGTGTGTGTATGCGAATGGATATGAACTAAGTAAAATACACACACACACACACACACACACATCAGTGGATATGCACTAAGCAAATGACAAGTAGTCCTCATCTTACAACTGCAACTGAGCCCATTTTGCACACTTATGACTCTCGTGGCATCGCCACAATCATGTGATCAACATTCAGACGCTTGGCAACTAACCCACATTTATGATGGTCGCAGTGTCCTGGGGTCCTATGATGACCTTTTGTGACCTTCTGACCAAGCACAGTCAATGGAGAAGCCAGATTCACTCCACAACCTCATTTTACTCATTTTATAACTGCAGTGAGTCACTTAACAATATGGCAAGAAAGGTCATAAATTGGGGCAAAGCTCACTTAGCAACCATCTCACTTAGCAGTAGAAATTTTGGGCTCAACTGTGGTTGCAAGTTGAGGGCCACCTCTACAAAACGTATTGGGATTTCTTGAATTCAAATGTAGCAGAGAACGGTTGCTTTAGCCTACTAGGAGATTATGAAGATCTAGGCCTGTCATGGCAACTATGGCACTCGTGACAGCACACAGAGCCATTTGTGCCAGCACGTGAGCTGCAGGCAAACTTACCTCACTGCACATGCGCACGCCTCACAGTTGATTTTTGGCTGGTTTGAGGTGTTTTTTTTGGCCTCCCAGAGGCTTGAAAAAAAAAGTCTCTGCAGGCCGAATAATACATCCACTTCATCACTTCCTGTAATACAGGAAGTGAACGAAACGGGCTTATTATTTGACCTGCAAAGCCTGCAGAGGCTTTTTTCAAGCCTCTGGGAGGCCAAAAAAGGCCTCAAACTGGCCGAAAATCAGCTGTGAGGAGCAGTGCAGGTAAGGGGGGGGGGCAGTGGGAGGGTGGCAAGAGGGATTGTGCACACATGCACAGAGGGCATTCTTCTGGGTGTTGGCATGTGAGCGCACATATGCCAGCACACTCACAATTTTTGGCACAGGAGCCCCAGAAGGCCAGCCATCACTGATCAAGGCTTATCTTGCATATTGCAAGATAGAAAGAGGAAAATATATGTGGCTCCGGGTTGAAATGAAGGGATCTTTGATGTTCTCTGAGCTTGGCTGTTTCCTTGCAGACATTTCATTACCCAACTAGGTAACATTATCAATGCTGGTAAGGAGTGGGAATTGATCTCAGTTTATATTCTAGTGGCTTGCCTTGTCGGTGTACCTGTCAAACACCACCCCCCATCAGCAATCAGTACCCAGAGAAGCAGAAATTAACACCAAGATCAACAATTGAGAAATAAACAATATCCCAATCCAGCAACAGCTAAACAACCTAACAGTAAACAGCCCAACAAAAGACCCTGTAAGTCCACTCCCACCAACACTGACAGGGCAAGCCACTAGGAGATAAACTGAGAGCAAAGCCCACTCCTTACTAGCACTGATGGTGTTAACTAGTTGGGTAATGAAACGTCTGCAAGAAAACAAGCAAGCTCAGAGAACACCAAGGACTTTTCATTTCAATCCCGAGCTACAAATATTCTCCTTTTTGGTGTCTCTATTACCTCCTGCCAGAACTGATCATACTATGCACCAAAATAGTGTTTGCACACCTTGGAACAACTCAAAAACTAGGTGGACTTCTTGGAATCACATCAGTGCAAGCTGGATGAAGAAAAGAAAAAACACCACATTTTCAACACACTTTTTTAAAAAAAAAGAAAGAAAGAAATGCTGGAGGCTCATTGTGGTGTCAAAACAACCCCAACTCGGCTGCCCTTTGTGCTGGAATTCTGTCAGGCATTATCCCAAACCCCAAGAAAGAAGAAGAATAAAAAAAGGAGAATGGAGACTTTTCTTTTTTTCAGGGCGTCCCATTGGCAAGTGCATAAAAAGTATTTTTTTTTTAAAAAAAAAAACCTTGCTCTTTTGCGAGGGCAAAAGTGTGAAGTGTGGGATAACCCGAAGTCACCCGTCAAAATAAAACTCTGACAGAGACACAAGAGAAACCCAGGGAACCCTCAAGAGAGAGAGAGAGAGAGGAGGGGAAGGGAAATCTGTGAAGTTTCTATTTCCAACTCAGATATCTTTTCTTCTAAAGAAAAGAGGCCATACTTTATTCTCGGGAGGTTGTTGCCATGGAAACTGCAATAACTCTGAACGCTTGGTGAAATACTGACTTCTCCTTCCTCTAACCCGCCCAAACCTTTAAAGTCTTCCTCAGCCAACTGTGGTTAGTCCTTCGCTTAAACGAATTTGCAAAGCCGTATTTTCCACATGGTTCGCAGGCTTAAGAGGTACCCGCTCTTGACATCAAAGCTATTTTAAAAAAAACCATTTACTCACTCTCTCTCTCTCTCTCTCTCTCTCACACACACACACTTCATTTTCCCTCAAGGTAAATGTTGATTGCAATCCACTCCAATGACAGGTGAGGTTTCCAGTTAGGACAGAGCGAGCGGGGAAGGATCTCAGAGTTTGAAGGGTGTGTATATATAAAAATGCAGAAATCTTGAAACTCTATTTTTTTCCCCCTCCCCAGACTGTGAAATTTCAATCTCTGAATTTTGCAGGCAAAATGAGGAATTGCAGCGAGAAGATTTTCCACTAATTTGTTTCTGGACATGCGGGGGGGCGGGGGGGACGGAGATGGAGACGGGGGGGGGGGGGGGACAAAGAAAGAGCAATAAAATTTGGGCAAAGAGAACACCTATTCATATTTTTATTATGTGTGTGTGTGGTATTCAGCTTTGTTCGGGTATTTTCCCACGTCATTATAGTTGTGCTTTTAAAGTTGTAGCAACATTTCAGCACAATCTCATCTGCCATCATCAGGCTTCTGTATTGTGTTCATCTGTGAGTCAGACTTTCATGTATGTATGTATGTATATAATACAAACATATATATACACACACGCATATATATATACATACATATACATATATACATATACATACATACACACACACACACACACACACACACACACAAACACAAATATATATAAATTATATTGCCGCCTATTCGCCCATGGTGACTCCAGGTGGCTTACACAATGTAAAACCATATTTAAAACAAAAAATAAAAAATAATAAAAAATAAAAACTAACAAAAAGAATCCAAGAAATTAATAAAGTACAATAGAACAAAATCTGGAGAAAAAAAATATACCCCTCAACTTCCACCACATATATATATATTTTGTGCATAGAAAAAAACAATAGGTAGTCCTTGACTTATAGCAGTTCATTTAATGACCGTTTGAAGTTCCAACGGCAGGGAAAAAGTGGCTTATGACTGTTTTTCACACTTATAACCACTGCGGCATCCTCAGGATCACCTGATCAAAATTCAAATGCTTAGCAACTGACTCCTATTTATGACGGTCATAGTTTCCCAGGGTCATATGATCCCCTTTTGTGACCTTCTGACAAGCAGAATCAATGGGGAAACCAGGTTTAATTTAAAAATGTGTCCCTAACTTAACAGCCGCAGTGATTCGCTTAGCAATGGTGACAAGACAGATGGTAAAATGGGACAAAACTCACTTAACACACGTCTCGCTTAGCAACAGAAATTTTGGGCTCAATTTTGATCATAAGTCAAGGATTGCCTGTATGTAAAATTAAAAACAAGTTCCTAAAACATTCCAAGCTTTCTCTCTCCTTTGCTTTGGCATTCTATCTTTGCCATTTGACTTGTGATTATTAATCACTTTTTAAAAAGCATTTAAAACAATCTCTGTTGATTTATGTGCTGCCCATCTCCAACACTGGAAGTTTTTAAGAAGAGATTGGATAACCATTTGTCAATGGCCTGAGCAGGGGGGTTGGACTAGAAGACCTCCAAGGTCCCTTCCAACTCTGTTATTCTGTTCTGTTCTTGCAGTTCATGGGATCGCAACACTGCTGAGTTGGAAAACTCCACAAAAGTCTGCAACTATTTGCAATGTGCAATGAGAAACCATCCTCAAGAGGTAGCTGTTCCACCTTTTCTTAAAAACTCCTTCAGAGGGGAAAAACCCAGATTTCCCTTTTTTGAGAATGTACAGTTGGGAGATTTCCCCCACTCCCCCTTAAGTTTAAAGAAAAACTAGTTAGCTCCAATCTACTTGTCAGGGTTTCCAAGTAATATACCCATAGCAAATAGAACT